AAATTAGTAATTTAGATATCTCGAGACCAGTTCATTCAGACATACTTCATTCCAAAAGGCTTTAGCTAACTCCTGTGTATAACTAATCTTCTACTCTTCATGACACCTAACTGTCCTTCCTGACCACTTGCTTCTTTTATAAGTAGTCAGTTAATCATCATGCATTTGTACATTGTATCTTGTATATTCATGACTATAACTTGTACTGGAGAGGTATTATCCAAGTCTTCTTGGCTTGTTTACCAATCTCTATACTGAAGAAAAATATGTTAATAACACAAAACCCAAAAAATGATGAAAAAAATGGCATATAGAGAATGAATTAAATTAACACTTAGTCTTTGAAACATTTCTTTAAAATAATTGTATTTGTTTTTTCTTCAAAAGAACCTTTCCTCTTCTGCTGTTTGTGGAATCAAGGAAACTAGACTTTGTTTAGTTTGATCTTGACTTGCCAAGGCTTTTAGTAAAATAAATAAATATATATATATATTCCACAGTCATGGTGCAGGACAAAGAATGAATGTGTACACTGTTCTTTAACACAAGTCTGTCACTAGAAACCAAGAAAAGAGAGTGTATCCTGATGCCCTGAGTGAGGGAGATGGGTTTACGACACTTTGAGCAGTATTTCAGGTATAGTGAGGACCCCTAAGAGGGTATGTGAGTCCCACATTATTCGAAGTATTTTTATGCATGCCAGAATTTTAAAGAGTAGTATTTTCGTCATTTTAACTTCAGGCTTAACTGGTATACAATCACCAGTGACTGAAGGGATGATATAAATCCTGCCAGGGTCCATGCAGGAAGCAAAGGCACTGTAAGTCCCCATGGTCCCTGGTATGGTGATCTCCCTTTAGTTACTGACGATCTCTAGCCCATTTTTATATTGTGTTGTTCCCTCATTCTTTCTTCTTTTAAATGTGCCTCGACTAGTTTTAAATCTAATCTGTGATATGCTAGTCATCGTACTGTCCTTCGATGACAGGTTTTTATAAAGTTTAAATATATGCATTATTAATGACCAACTTCTCGTCACGATATGGCTGAAATATTGCCGATGTGACGTTAAATGTTAACTCACTCACACACTATAGTGAGGACACCCTACCATCACGTTCATCACGTCAGGGGTAAAGGAGATATGGTGGTTTTAAAAGCTGTAAGATGGCAAGGAGACACGGAGCCATCCAAACTGATGATGCTGCTGTGGTTGCCTGTGGCATATTACCATGACAACAGACTGGTAGCTTCTTTATAAATGCCTTGGAGTGCATGTTTTGAGAACGGTAAATGCAGATTTACAAAAATACATTATGTCATTGAAAAGAAGGAAATGGCAAATGTCACCCAAACGGACAGATAATGTGACAACCCTGGAAGTGTCACAATGTCCTCAACGCATGGTTTTCATATTGATCACTTTAAACAGCTGATGATAATCTATCATAGATGTTTATACAACTAATAATACTTCCTTATTCATATCAACCGTTGTTGTGACCCCAGATTTTATCAGCTAAGGAAAACCGTTGTGGACTATTTCACAGGACAAAACTCATAAAGTCAAATCAATATGGGGCAGTGGAGTAGTCTGGAGGTTAAAGCACTTAACTTCACTCATTCACTCTCTCACTCACTCACTCACTCTCTCACTCACTCACTCAAACACCCATCCACCCAACCACTCACTCACCCACCCACCCACTCACTCACTCACTCACTCACTCACTCACTCACTCACCCACCCACTCACTCAAACACCCACCCTATGACTCACTCAGTCTCTCTCACTCATTCAAACACCCACCCACTCACTCACTCAGTCAGACAGCCACCCACTCACTCACTCACCTGCCCACTCACTCACTCACTCAGCCACCCACCCACCTGCCCATCCACTCACTAACTCACTCACTCAAACACCCATCCACCCAACCACTCACTGAATCACTCGCCTACTCACTCACTCACTCACCAACCCAACCCCCCACCCACCCACTCACCCACTCACTCACTCACTCACTAACTCAAACACCCACCAACTCACTCGCTCGCTCACTCAATCACTCACTCTCTCTCTCTCTCTCTCACTCACTCAAACACCCACCCACTCAGTCAGACAGCCATCCACTCACTCACTAACTCAGCCACCCACCCACTCACTCACTCAGCCACCCACTCACTCACTCACTGAATCACTCACCCACCCACTCACTCACTCACCAACCCACCCACCCACCCACTCACTCACTCACTCACTCACTCACCCACCAACTCACCGACCCTCCTGCTCACTCACTCATTTACTCACACATACTCACTCACCCACCCACCCACCCACTCTTGACTGATATATTACTTCTAAATCATGTACACCATGTCATCTTATTATAAGTCCCTACAAACGAAATACATTCCTGTTAATAAGGACAATGATTTATATCTTTTACAGGTTTATTCAATAAACACACCATCTAATCAAACATGACCTCGGCCAACAGACGTTGTCCACGTTTAGGAGTAACCTACATGGAGTGAGTGAGTCAGTGAGTTGTTTCAACGCAGAATAGGTCTCCTCCAGCTTGTAGACAGGTAAGAGTGTCGGTTTTGTAATGCTATTATCACTATTCAAGCAATATCACGGCAGGGGACACAAGAAATGGTCTTCAAACACTCAATACTGATGCTGTGTTTCTGATTTTCTGACTTGCGGAAAGAAAGCTTTACCCATGTTGGCACAAGCCAATCATTGGTGTGATAATAAATGACAAGAGCCAATCAAACAGCCTGTTATATGTTTCAGATACTGCAACAAAGCTCCTAGTCCTGCACCATGACCGTGGAATATATTTATTTTATGAAAAAAACATAATCTAGAAATGCATACAAAAGCAAGTCAAGCTAGCTCTATTCCACATAGGGATTTTTTTTTTTTTTTTAGAGTCAAGAAGTATCTTGTGTAATATAAGATTTCAGAGACTAAATGTTAGTCTACAAAGCTCCTAAAGGCAATACTTCCTTCCCAGGGTGCAGTTGTAAAAAGCGACCTTAGCGCTGAGGTGATCGTAACTCCCATACCTTAACATAGACTTACGACAGTCGTAGCGCTGAGGTGATCGTAACTCCCATACCTTAACACAGACTTACGACAGTCGTAGCGCTAAGGTGATCGTAACTCCCATACCTTAACACAGACTTACAACAGTCGTAGCGCTAAGGTGATCGTAACTCCCATACCTTAACACAGACTTACAACAGTCGTAGCGCTAAGATGATCGTAACTCCCATACCTTAACACAGACTTACAACAGTCGTGGCGCTAAGATGATCGTAACTCCCATACCTTAACATAGACTTACGACAGTCGTAGCGCTAAGGATGTTTCGTAGAAGGGGACCCTGTGCTCAAACATCGGAGTGGGATGACAAGAGACAAGACAAGAAGTTTATTGTATGAAAGGCCTCCAGCCTCTATACATGCTATACAAACACACACAATGTATACATACTTTCAACATATGTGCATTCTAGGAGACATTTGTATTTACAAATTCTTGACGAATATTGAGTGCTTGATGGAGAAATTGAGCTAGACTGTAGATTACATCAGAAGATTGATTAGACATAAGTGATATAAGGGATGTGGTACATTGCTGTTTAAGGTATTTAGCGGGTATAAAACGTTTTCCGATATCTTGGTAAAACTCACAGATAAAAAGTACATGAAATTCGTCCTCAACACCCATATCACATAATGGACACAAACGCATAGATTTTAACGTATTTTGTCTTCTTCCGGTATTTACTCTAATATCACTCAGTCCCATAGGAAAACGTGTGAATGTTGAACGAAGATTTAAATTACAAAGAACACTTAAATATTTTTCAGGCTCCAGTAAGGATTTGAATGATCTATACACATCATATCTGCTACTTGCATTTAAATTAGACATCCATGTTTGATAAAAGGTATTTACAATTCTTTCTTTGAACATATTTACAAACATGAAGGTGTCACACACTGTGATGGAGCTTGCTTCATAACCTACACATGCTCATTACCGTAAACGAAGCGCAAGGACGAATGTTAATGTCCTATAATAATGCACGTGTCGACACGCGATTCTTTTATTTTCGAAACTAAACTGCAGCATGTAGAAGATAATTATGGTGTCTTTGTTGAAAACAACGCCCTCTAGAAAGAACGCTGACGAAGAAAGCCATCAAATCCTCATATCCAGCAGGTAAAGTATTCCTGTAACCATGGTAACGGTGGCATTACCACTACTCCAACCCTTCTCAGAGTCGTCCCTCGTCACCAGGAAATAACTACATGAGCATTCATCTTTTAGTGTAAAACTCATGCAATATATCATATATACTCACCGCCAAGAGAAACGCAAACCATAAAAACATATAGAGAAGTATGTACGTTAAGAAGAGATGTTTCCTATGTGTACCACTTAATGACTAAACTGACAGCCAAGTGTTACCACAGCGTCTTTATTCTTATCATGATATGCTGCATGTGATTTCCAAACTTTACACGCTAATTCTGCACGAGACGAATAGTGCATCTCGAGTCATTGCTCTATGACGTCACATGTGATACGTTCAGTAGCTTCGGTTCACACAACATACCAGTATGTCGTTTGTGTATCGACCAATCTAATATCTCTTGAACATGAGTAAGTCTTCATATATTAACCAACATGTATGGTATTAGCGTTTCTGTTGACGGTGAGTATATTATAAGGGTAACGCTATTTTTAAAGGCATTATCATTTGCAGAAGCCCGAGGTCTTCCAATAACTGCCCGATGAAGGAGGGTAGTTGAAAAGACTTTGTCAAGCAATATGAGGGCATTATCAACATGATCAAGTTACAGTGGCCCGCTCATTTCTGATAACATTGTTTAATGATAATTCTATCCATTTTTGCTATAACATCAAACATTAACTTTGTCTTAAGGCTGTTATCACAGTCATCTCATCTTACCTTCAGGCACCATGTCATCTTCCCCGTTATATCCAATGTAGAATTGACTACGACTCTTCAATTTTTTGGAATTGAATCTCCGGAATTTCAGCCTATCATAATCTCCATCCTCTAACGCTTTAGGCGGTGTCTTCAAGCCCTTCCGAGCTGCACCGGCATTCTCCAAGAAGTGGACCGAGAACGGCCGTCCTGAACCCTGCTTACAGGACACAAACCCAGGCGGGTGCGACCGAACCATGAAGTCGTCGCGGGTCAAGACACTCTCAGCAGCAAACCCAGCAGGAATCGGCTTAGCCATGTCATACATGCTGCTCGTTGCTGCACCCTTGGCTAAATTTGACGGCAAGTTTGTTTGATTTTGAGATTTGTCTACTGCTCCCTTTGCAACCGAATAAACACTACCAAGGCCTGGGGGTGGAGCTGGTATGTTGCCATGACTAACACCTTTACACTGTCCTTGACCTTTCACCTTTGACCCAGTCTGACCGTTAGCAGTTGTGTCAAGACACACAACTTCGTATATTGGTTCTTCGGGCAACAGACTCATATATGAATGACCTGAGCCTCTCTCAGATGAATCCCGAGACGGCACAACGTCATAAATCGGTTCAGACAATATCCTCTCTGATATCTCACCATTAGCTTCTCCTGTACCCGATAGCGAAACACCAACGGTTTGGTCGCCGACAGTATCAGTTGTCTCCCCTGATTTCGGTTTCCCTTGCTCGTACACTGGTGCAGTATCGTCAACGACCTCGAATCCTTCAAACGGGTTCTCGGATGGGGGAATATCATGGAGTACAGGTGTGAAATCATCATCAAAGCTCTGTTTCTTTAAGCCTTGGACCAGGTGATCTCCACTCAGGGCTTCGAACGCCTGAGTGATTTCTTGTACAGAGGGCTGCATGTCTGGTGTTATAACACTGTCCTGCCTGTCACTCACTGTCTCCAGCTCGAAATAAACCGCTGGAGGAGCTTGCCCATCAGGAGACTTCCCCTCAACCTTTGTGTTATTGTTCAAGGGGATATTACTCACTTCTGTAACATCTACTATTGTGTTGACCGAGCTCTCTATACTCCTCTCGAAGTCGGCGTCAGGAACAGCTTCCAACAACGTTGTGACGCAGTCGCTGTAAACATCATCCAGGCTTGTTTCCCCGACGTTGATGTCATCAGTGCTTGTCTCGCCAATGTCGATGTCGTCAAGTGTGTAAACGCCGCTACTTGATGCGTCGTCGTAGGGGTCTGCGTCCATGCTGCTTGTGTTGTTGGGGTCGAGGGATAAGCTAGGTGGTCTCTGCAAAGTTTGGCCTTCTTCAATGTTCATCGAGCCGACATCGGCCATCTTGGACTTGCAAAAGTTTTGTTCTTTTCTTCAAGAACTTTCTAAAGGGTAGAGTACTGGAGCCCATGGTTTCTGGATTGTTCCAATTATCTGAAAATAAACATGGCCATTTGATTTACCATTGTTTACTGTAAATAAAAGAAACAATCTACATGTGAGAATTTAGCTTAGGGAATAAATTGGTCAATCCAAGTTAACAATGATCAAGGACGTATGTTTAAATGACTGTGCTCCATGCTTCTAATTGCAGACCCGTGAAGATCCGGGTAGAGCAACCCATGCTTGCCACAAATGGCGACTATGCTTATTGTAAGAGGCGACTAACGGGATCGGGTGGTCAGACTCGCTTATTGTAAGAGGCAACTAACGGGATCGGGTGGTCAGACTCGCTTATTGTAAGAGGCAACTAACGGGATCGGGTGGTCAGACTCGCTTATTGTAAGAGGCAACTAACAGGATTGGGTGGTCAGACTCGCTGACTTGCTTGATACATGTCATCGTATCCCAACTGCGTGGATCCATGTTCATGATGTCAATCACCAGATTGTCTGTCCCAGACTTGATTATTTACAGACCGCCGTCATAAAGCTTGAATATTGCTCAGTGTGGCGTTAAACAACAAACAATCTTATAGAAATGTTCAAGAAATAATTGAAACTGTCATGGATAACTTCTTTATTGTTTGAAACGACATTTCAGGGCTACTCCACCTGATCATCACCTGGTGTATTAATATATCTAGACCCTGGACTAGCATCGACAGTTGTCCCGCGTTCACTACGGAATTGGTAAAAGTGCAATATTTAATATTTCTTTATCTCATAGTATTTGTTTGTTTGTCTGTTGTGTAACACCACTCTTAGCAAGGACGGGGGCTGTAAATAATTCAGTCTGGACCAGACAATCCAGTTACTGATATTGTGAAAGACAACATTAGGGCATGATGACATGCTATCGCTGACTTGGTTGATGCATGTCATTGTATCCCAATTGCATGATCAATGTTCAAATACTAATGAACATCAGTTTCAAGGTCATGTGACCGAACTCTCGACCAATGAAAAAGTATATTGTGTAAACTCTCACATGAACAAATTGTTAACTATTAAGTACATGATCATCATGATCATTGTTAAGTTATTCGCTAAACTGTTGTTATTAATTATCATTAATAATGGTGCAATATTTGACTTACAACCATACTAAGGTGGGGGTGGGGTTCAGTAAACGAGTACTAAGTTTTAGCAAGTGTATTGTCTTGTATCAATACAGAAAAAAACGTATCATCTATCGTAACATCACTTGAAAGCCCAGGTGCAACGAAGCAAGTCATAACAGTCCGCTGATTCACAGGGCAGTGGATGAGATTAGGGGTAATATGGCTGGAGTATTGCTGAGAGTAAAACACAACCCTCACTCACTCACTACACCTTCAATCATGTTAACAATGATCCTCACCGATTGTCAGATAAAAATTCATCCTTTGATAAATTACTCCTAAGAAGAAGTTAAAAAACAACTGATTTGTTCACAGGACTACAGTTAATCTTTCATGACCAAACTTCCTGAGGCAAGGGAGTTAACTGACTGTAAAAATCCAGTTTCCACCCTTGCCGAACTAGGCTGGGATTTCCAGACTCGATCTTAGTGGCACCAGTGGCTTTTATGAGTTATGTCCCTTCTTTGTCCCTCATATTGGCCAATCTCTCATAAAACTTGAATTTGCTTTAAAAAAAAGGGCGGAGCCTAGTCAAAAGACGACCTGATCGCTAATCAAGTCCTTATTGTCATAAAATGGGTCTTAACACGTGAAGTGCATCAAATCGCTTGAGCACCTTGATTAAAAACATGAAAAGATTTGCAAAATATGCATCAATGTCCAGTTGGCAGTACACATGCTTTGCAAATACTGCAGTCGGATGAAATCTGCACGTTGAAATCCATGTTGTTTACGACCTAAATGTCTAGTTCATTACGCGATTTTTATTGGACTATGCATAGACTCATTAAAGGGGCACTAAACACTGGCCTCTTCTCAGCTAAACAAACAGACAAAAAGAATGGCAGAAGCTCATCGGATGTCGTTATTTGGAAATACCCCTGATGGTTCTAGTTTAATAATAAAAAACATATCCCTACAGTGAAAGCGTTTTCAGATTGCGTGGATAATACAATTGCTGCTCCCTTGTTGACATCCATGTTTTCTGGTATAACCCTACACTTGTGTATTTGTTGTTATTCACTTGATGCTCAGTTAATGAATTTATTACAGGTATAATTAGTGGTAGCACCACTCAGATTGGTGTCTAGCCGGGAGAGCCACATTTCAGAAATGGCTATTGCCGGTAGAGCCACATTTTCAGCTGAGTGCATTTCACCTATTCTAGCAGGTAATTACTTAATCCGATTACCGATACCTTTATATGAGTGTCCCACATTTAAGTTACTAAGCGTGGTGTTCTTTAGAGATACTTTTAAATGAGTGTCCCACATTAGTTGGACTTTGAACGTGCAGCTCACAATGCCGTGACTGATGTATTTCCTGGGACATTAGTTAGAGGGTGTTTCTTTCACTTCACCCAATGTATCTGGAGGAGGGTGCAGAAAGAAGGTCTGGTGATGGACTATAAGGAAGATGAGGAGGTGAAGAAGCTGGTGAGAAGAGCTGCTGCCCTCCCTCTAGTACCTCGTGACAAAGTGGATGATGTGTGGCTTGATGCCATTGCTGACTCTCATGCTGGCCCTAAAGTGACTGCCTTCATGGACTACGTGACAACCAGTTGGGTTCAAGGAGGGGCCTTCATGCCAGAGATTTGGAACCATTTCGAAAACCAAGGCCACCGTACCAACAATCACCTGGAAGGGTGGCACAACAAGATAAAGAAACTTGCCAAGAAGTGCCACCCGAACATCTAGGAGGTAGTGAAGCTATTTCAGTGAGAGCAGTCACTCAAAGAGGTTGCAGTCCTGAGACTCTCTCACCAGTGGTCAGAACCTTCACGAAGAAAGAAGTACAAGGCAATCGATGCACGTATTGCGTCCCTCAAGATCCAGCTCCTGAACCAACACCTGAGTGAGATGGAATATGCTGACCACGTGGGCGACCTCCTTCATCTGCAGTAATGACATTAAATCCATTATGATATTCATATGCTATTCATATTCATCAATGTAAAGTTTTGATGAATATGTTATCCTTGTTGAATAAGAAATGAGAAAACAAGACTTGTTTTGTTATATACGGTAACCTGTTAGAATCACAAAGCATGTTTTGACAGCATAGCCGCGAGAGCCACATTATACAATCACGCAACCATAACCATTGCCGCGACAGCCACATCAATTTGGGCTATCTATTTTCGAAATGTGGCTTTGCCGGCCTGTAACCCTCAGATTACCTGACAAAGGTTACCATTTGGCATTTCTTGTGTCTGGGGTAATTATTCAATCTAAATCTAGGTGTGAAGAGAGGTGAAATGTGTGTTATGTAATATGCACGTGGCAGCCCAGCAAGAGATGAATGATCAGTTGATTTACTTTTTTGTAAATCAACGGATCATTCCTAGCCATCAAAGAATCAACAGAAAATATGTTGATTGATTAATCACTGTTATCTTGCACAGTGGATATGTCAAAAGTAAGTGTTTACATGTCTAGGTTTACTAAAGCAAAGGGAATACATTCATATCATGGCGTGAAGTGCCGATGTAAAAACAACATACTTTGTTCAAAGGGTTAACCGATAATATGTTGATTGATTGCTCATTGTTATCTGACTCAATGGATTTTTTTAGGAAAACCGTGGAAGTTATGAAAATAGTTGGCACGTGGGCTTTCTCAGCCGACCTTTGAGACTTGACACCTATGTGAAACAACTGAAACAAACTAAGTGATCAGTTGAGAAATGAACACGGGTTATAATATCCTGAAACGATGTATATTTTTCAAAATATTTGATTGTTAGAGACATGTGACATTGAATAAGTTTCTTTGTACAGCTGCAGACATGTGGGATATTGTTCCTTTATGTGGATATTCACAGATACATTCCTCGGAAGCTGCCTACGATTATGCACATAAATGTGGTAGGTTGTAATTATGATATATGCATTTTGATTTCCTTCATTTGCTGTAGCATTGAACAGAATCATTCTTGTTCCTCAACGTCTTGGTTGGGAAGTTCTTTGATGCAGGATAGACGTTGTTTTCACAATTATTTTCCTTTGTAAGCGTGTATATGTTACAGTCAATGTGTAAAATGTGATTCATTCAGGCAATTTATGAAATGTCTAAATATTTTAGTCATTTTACAAACTGACTGAAAAGTCTATCCATTTATTTAACAGATTGACTAAAAATGATTAAGACGATCAAAAGGGCTAAAACATCACAATAGATTAATTATGCTAGGGATTAGAAGCCACACCATTCAGAAATGAACTTTTAATCCTACCATTTTCAGTCACTTTGTGATGATATTAAACATAAAAATGTTTGGAATTTGTTATCATAATAATACAGATGGACATATTTTTCAGTCAATTTGTAAAATAAGTGAATATTTAGGCGTTTGATAAATTTCCTCAGTGAAAATTTTACACATTTTGACTGTAAAAATATAAACACGATAAAACGAGCAATGCTCAGGTGAAATATTTACTTTGTGTTGCAAGTCAAAATAGTGTAAACGAAGATCGCACAATTACCAAGCAAGTGACTTATCAAAACTTTGTCTCCATTACCGATGCTACCCACAAAGATACCTAGAATTCCTTATTATTTCAAAAACTGTATTTCATTTTGTTGATCAATGTGACCATACACCCTTATACTATCAACAAAAGTGACAAATGTGGTTATGAATGGTGCTGCACAGGTCGCGAATTACTCTAGATTTCTGCTATATCATCCAGGTACTCACAGACAAAAAACAATAACAAAGGCAACAACCAGTCAGGTGGAATTACTTTAGATCAGTGCCCCTTTAACCAGCCCAAACTCCGGAATTCCAGCCCAGTTTGGCAAGGGTGGAAACTGGACTTTTACAGTCAGTTAATGCCCTTGCCTTGGGAAGATGGTCATGACATGTA